TTAAAATTTTTATATAGAAAATGATATCCAATATCATTTTCGATAGAAAATGATATCCGCTCCAGTGATACCAAATGCAAAAATGTTAGTATCCATAAAACAACGTATCAACATTTTAGTTGTGTATGATTGTGTCGTGGCATAGTTGGAAAGCACTGAATTGTACACTGTGTTAGTGTCGGTCCACAATAGATGATTTAATCTTTAAGAAGTAAGAAATTGATCAATTATAATCGAATATGAAAAGAATAATCGACTATGATTGGTCAATTTCTTACTTCTTAAAGCTTAAATCACCTATTGTGGACCGACACTTACACAGTGGGTACTTTCCATTTAGTGACACAAGTCGACATAAGTATCATTTTGTCCTTGTTAATCATTGAAAGCCAAGAAAGATAGAGCGATACTTGTGTCGACTTGTGTTACTAAATGGAAAGCACTCAGTGTTGCCTGTGTACGTTGCTGGAAAGCATCCTATTAAGGATCGGCTGGAGACAGCGTGAAGACTTCTCGCGGCCGGCTGTGAATTATGGATTCGCTAATACATTATTATAGCTAAAATACAGAGAGAATCATAAAAAAAATCGTGATATTCGTAATCAATAGAATCATTAGCAGGTCGAATCATTAACAGAGCCACTTTTTGAAAAAAAGATCAAAATTTTAAGTAACGTGCAGATCATGTAGCTCCTCGCGAGTCAGGTGCAGTTAGCCTATTTTGTTTATTATAAATTTTTGAGAGTCAAAATGCAAAATCTGGGTCTGTCGCGCCCTAATTATAATTATATAAGAAATATATTAAAAAAAGTTTCATGAGACAATATAGTTTCTTCAAAGAGAAAAAATGTTTTAGCGAATATTACTAGATTTATATATATGGGAATATTTCAGTGGTAACATACTGGTAGCTTGACAAGGAAAACTGCCAGTTTTGATGTCTTTGTCTCGCATATGTATATGTACTTTGAATATGTATAACGTCCATGTAGCTACAAATATCAATATACTCCGAACATGGATATGACTATTGAAAGAAAATGTGAGATAAAAAGTTAAATAGAAAAAAAGACAAAATGTATGATAGAGGAACAAGGATAGCAATAGTTATTATATTACATCTCTCAACAATTGTACACATCCCCGATAGCAAAACCTGCAGAAACAGATTTTGAGCAAAGCCTGCTAATATTTAATGGCAAAAAAGCAACAAATTGCACACAGAGTCTGTAATATCTGACGTTGGGAGCAAACTACCCTCAAAAATAGAACAAAGCCTGCTGATATGTTATGTCAGCAGAGTGCTAGCAAAAACCGAGCAGAGCTTGTTATTACCGTTTGATAGCAAAAAGGCAACAAATTGTACACAGAGTCTGTAATATTTGATGTGAGCAAACTGTCCTCAAAAATATGATAAAGCTTGCTATGCCAGTAGATTGTTAGTAAAAATCGAGCAGAACTTGTTATCAATGTTTGATGGCAAAATGGCAACAAATTGCACACAGAGTCTGTAATATCTGACAATGTGAGCAAACTCTCTTCAAAAATATGACAAAGCTTGCCGACATACTATGCCAGCAGATTGGCAACAAAAACCGAGCAGAGCCTGTCATTACGCATATTTAAACACAATAATTGGAAAACTATCGCTAGATGGCGTCCGTTTCTCGCATGCAAAATTTATCAAACTTTCTATATAAGCGAAATCATAATCAAAAATCATAATTAAAATTTAAACATGCATTTATTGTTTACGTATTTTTATGTATATGTTTGATGCAAGACGTAATAGTCCAACAAAGAAGTTAGGGCAAACTCCGTTCAATTTTTGGCGCCAATCTGCTGGCATAGTACATCAACAGACTTTGCTCGGTTTCTGCCGCCAATCTGTTTGCATAGCATGTCAACAGACTCTATTCGATTTCTGCCGCCAATCTTCTGGCATAGCATGTCAGCAGGCTTGTCAACAAATTCCGAGCCTAATACAGATACAGATGGCTATGGATTTGCCCAAATAAGAAGGGAGGGTATACGTCACGATGGGGCCCGACCACGAATCGATCGTGAAAAACTTGTAACTATTTTGCGAAAAAATACTACCTCAGCCAGGAATCGAACCTGGATCTCCTGCTTACCGGGCAGGCATCTTATCCTTTCAACTACCGAGGCATGTGATGATATTTATCGCAATAACGTGTTTAGAATAACAAGTCAACAATCAATGATATACACACATATACATATATTACAATATACATATATATATGTATATTTTCTCAAATCCCCACGACCGGTACTCCAGAGAGATGATGGTCCTATTCTCTCGAGTCAATATTTGATCGAATTTGTTGCCAATTTGCTAGCAAATTGCTAACATTTTATTTGCTGGGATAGTATGTCGCATTATGAAATTATGAATAAGATGTATATAAACATATTAGAATAAACATGCCCGTGTCTTGTATATAGGATGAGCCAGCTAACTTGCAGACTTCTAAGAACTTGTAAAAAAATTATATAAAAATATAAAAATTTATATAAAAAATTGTTATATATAAAAATTATATGACTTCGGGGGTCATTGCATAGAATACAAATTTTTTTTATAAATGAAGACATTTAAAAAATTTCAGAATTAATTTCATTTTTTAGATGAAAATATCTTTTTTTGTTATAAGTAATATGATGCCTCTTGTTATTCTGGATATAAAAATACTAAAATACAAATGTCGAAAAATCAATAGTTTATGAGATATTTTATATTTTAGTTTCACATATTCTGATATACAATATAAAACATTTCACAAATTATTCATTTTTTTTGTACCTTAATACTTTTATTCATAAAATAATGAGACAAACCAATTGGAGTTAGGAAGATACATAATTGCTTTAAAAATGAATTATGCAATAGGCAAAATGTAAGTACATATTTTTTTAGCTTTCTTTACATCAATCGATTTGTCTTTTTATTGTATATATAAAAGTATTAAGATACAGTTATAAAAAAATATGTGAGAATATGTGAGACTAAAGTATAAAATATCTCTTAAACTAATGGATTTTTTGACATTTGTATTTTAATACTTTTATATTGTATTTTAATACTTTTATTTTATTTCAAAATAACTAGAGCAATCATATTACATAAACATACAAAAATATATATAAACATACAAAAAATATATAATTTTATTTAAGAAAACAATATTGATTTTGAAATTTTTTTGCGCCGCCTATAAAAAAAATGTATACATTATATAATGACTCTCTCGAAATTATGCAACTTTTATGTATAACACTTTTTTCTACAACTTATTGTTGTAGAAAATACAAAATAGGATGAGATATCTAATATTGCACATATTTTAAATATATATATATATATATATATATATATATATATATATATATTATTATTATTATTATTATTATTATTATTATTATTATTATTATTATTATTATTATTATTATTATTATTATTATATATATATATATATATATATATATATATATATATATACTACTACTAACTAACTAACTAACTAACTAACTAACACACACACACACACACACACACACACACACACACACACACACACACACTACATATATATTATGTAATATAAAATAAAATGTATAATAAATAAAAATTATAAAAGGCGGGGTCTTATTTGTCTTGTGCACCACTTGTCTTTTTAATTTACAAAAAGACCAAACTAGTACTTTCCCCACGGACTATTATTTTAAGAACGATCTTAATTTATTATTTTTTCAATTTGTATTATTTTAATTAATATATTAATTAAATTAAATGATAAAAAAATTATAGATAATTATTAATATATATTATTTGAATAAAATGATGAAAAATTATCAAATTAAAAAAATATGAGGTTAGAGGATTCCGTTTCCTGAAAAATATGCTCCATGGGGAACCAATAGGCCTATTCTCTAACTTCTTAACGATAATTTCACTAGCTAGGGATGTCGTTACGCAGATTTAATGACACTATAACGAAAAATGGTATTCTGTAATTTAACGTAACAATAAATGTCGTTAAAAGTATCGATAAAGTATCGAAGTATCGAATGTTGTCGTTAAGATATCGAGGGATATCGAACCCCTCGATAAGCCATAATGACAACATAACTAGACATATCAATCAATAGCAACGTTCCGAAGCGGCTCCGAATAGTAGTACGGAAGTGTGTAAATATAGTATAATTTTATAATTTAAATATATGAACATCATAAACTTATTTTAAACATATTAAATATTAAGAAGAGCATGCAAAAAATAATATTACAATAAAATATTTTAATTAAAAGCAATATATCATCAATGTTATAATATCTAAGGATATTAAAATAAATAAATAAATAGATATAGGTTATATTTTATGAATTATATGTAATGTAAATCAAATGTTTTTCATAAAAAATTTTAAGATGTTAAGATTTTCTCTTATTTTTGAGATAAAATGGCAAAAGGATATTTGACATGGAATATATTACTTAAAAAAATTTTTTAAATATGTAGAAAAAAGAAATTTAAACAAATAATTTAAATAATTATATTTAATAACATTAAATTACATTAAATATTTAATTAAATTATTAATTAAATATTTATTAATAATAATTAATAATAATAATAATAATTAAATTATTAATTATTATTATTATTAATTATTATTAATAATAATTTATTATTATTATATTTAATAATTTAAAAAATTATGTATTAATTTTTATGTAATCTGTTGTATATAACACTAAGTATTTTTAACACTCAAAATAAATAATTAATCATTGGCCAATTGAACTGCTAATAATTAATATAAATTTCATATGTAATTTATTAATACTTTATCATATATTACTTAAATTATTTATATATACTTACTTTGACATTGCACAGGCTTTATTTATCTCTTCTACTATTTCCCATAATTAAAGCTTTACCACTTTACTGTAAGTTTATAACCTTATCATCGATAATTTATTTTCACATTCCTAAACTCATCAGAAAAGGATATTAGAAAAGAGATTTTATTGGTTGGATATTACAACGAAAAAATTGTATGAAACCGAGTATATTCGTTACGATAACGACATCGAAATCACATTTTGTATCGATATCGTTTTGTTAGCTTGTGTACAGAATAGCTTTGTCGTTATAATATTGCCAGCACAAGCGATGATTGTCGCGTATATGTATACGTAACGATAACATTGTCGTTTCGAAGTTAGAGAATAGGCAGGATACAGGATCATCATACAGAAGCATCATACAGAATGCTTAAAATCGGAACAGAAAGCTAAATGAAATTTTCGGAACGATGCTGATTGGCTGTCCCCACCATTTCACCTTTCCGTTCTGATTCCGTTTTCCGTGCCCATGGAACAGCATCTTAAAAGTGTGAGAAGCAGGCTATCAGTGCTATTGGCTGTGTTCAACTCAAATAGCTTTGCAATTGTGTAAGGTTCTTAAATGTGATTAGTTTATATAGTTTAGATCAATGAGAAACTAAGGGGAAACTAAAAAAATCCATCATATTAAAGATTTTTACAACAGTTGCAAAACTACTTTCTCTGCTGAACGTAGCCATTATGTCATTTTATCATTAAATATAAAACAACGATAGAATGACACAATAGCGCTAAATAACAAATAAATTTGAAATAGATAAAATAACGATGAAAATAACTATTAAATTAGTTACTTAAAAAAATGTAATTAAGTTAAGTTACAGTTATAAATAGAAAAAAAGAAACGAAGTTAAATTATAGTTATTGAAAAAAAAGTAATTGTAACTTCGTTACAAGTAATGAATTACTTCCTAACCCTAGTATTTTTATATCCAGATAACAAGAAGCATCATATTACATATAACAAATATATTTCTGTCTAAAAAATGAAATTAATCCTGAAAATTTTTAAATGTTTTCGTTTAAAAAAAAATTTATACTTCATATAATAACTCCCTCGAAGTCATACAATTTTTATATATAACAACTTTTATATAAGTTTACAAGTTCTTAGAAGTCTGCAAGTTGCCTCATCCTGTATACAAGACACGGGCATGTTTAATCTTATATCCCAGATAGTCAAGTAGATAGTGATATAACATATTGAGCGAACTATGCATGTGTTGCTATATATTTGCCGTATATTTGCTGACATCGAAATAGGACACATAACGAATACAACAATATGTCTGCTTATGGATGCAAGTTGACAAAATTTTAAGAGAATTTAAGAGAAATGGTCAACAATAGTAGTATGTTATGTTATCAGTAATATATTAACAATATGTCACCAACAAATGATTAATCGTTTCATCTTGAGCATCATGATAAAAACATGACGGCAACAAAACATATATAATGATTTCTATCCGTTGTCACATATATATTTTCAAACACGAAGATTTTTAATTGTAGTTCAGCAAAATAATATGAAATGTCACACGTTTATGGCAACTTTTCAGCAAAAAGACATATATTTTTCGAGATTTATATACAAATTGTAAATATTCATTTCTAATTATACTTACAAATATATATGTATATATTATCCTAAGCAACTAATGTATGTATATTGCAACTTTATATTAATCATATAATATAGTAAAATAAAATAAGAAAATAAAATAGAAATATGAATAAAAATTAATAACATTCCCTGATAAATTAATACAATTTTAATTACATGGTAATATAGTTATATTAAAAGCGTTTTTGAAACAGTTTGTTGTCTTGAAATCTGTTTAAAAATTTCTTTTGATATAATTTTATTGCTATTTTGTTAAAAAATACGATATTTTTGGACACACGTTATTGTTTCAAAAATAATAAATTTATATATTCTCTATTACCTTTTGAACATTGTCGGTGTTGTTTCGAAATATTTACAATGCACAACTCTGGTAAAAATTGTGGACAGAATCGGACAGAAATGGATATGATTTCTATCTAAACTGTAAGCTGCTGATTTTATCTGTATACAGACAGACTAACAAAACCGAAATTCGATTCTGTCTGTCATTTTACTAGGGAAACTGACACAGAACATTTTGTTCGCATATTATCAGCATATAGCAGCACTCATTGTTTGGTATATGTTATCGTTATGTTGTTGTTAACATGCTTTTGTGAGTGTGGATAGCATACCGATGATGACAAATTGCTTTCAAATTATTGCCAATTTATTATCAACATGTTGGTAATTGCGGATGACAAATTGACAACACGAGTTGTCGTTAAGTTGTGAATAATAGATTGATGCTGACATATTGCCATCGATTTGTCATTATTAAAATTATCATTCCATGGAGTTCAATGCGACAGACATAATGCTGCCTTATCTTGTCCCGAGTTTGTCTAAATTAATTGTTGCAATGACTTTCGGCTATATAACAGCAAATTTGAAACATTTTGCTATCTGGGTTACTGAGCACTAATCACTTTCTCACTTTATTTTTGTACGAGATATTTCCACCATTTTCTGCTGAACGTTAAATACTTGTATAAGCATCTCATGCTAACAAAGGGAAAAAATATAGAGGAAAAGTGAGACGGAATATCCGTGTCCCGTTTGACCACGTCCCGATTAACCACTAGTCATTTACAGGGGTCGGCACCTAAAATTTTTCCACTGTTCAAGCGTTGTGAGTGACTCTCCGTGCCCTGATTGATTATGTACCTTGCTCGCGCATGTGCAGTTCATTTTAACATACGTTGAAATCGGAACAGTTGCTACTGTATGTACTGTGTCAAAATTGGCAGCAGGGCAGACCAACTCCCATTATTTGCAAGACCATTAAAACGGTACACTCAGCGCACTGGTGGCGCAATTAAAACTAATATGGCGGTCTCGCGGTAGAATTTAAATAATTTTTTAAATAATAGTAATTCCTTCATTTCAATTATATATCAAGTATATGTATTTACATAATTATATGCAAATAATGAGAAAAAATTTAAGATTAAAAACTTTATTTTTATTTTAAATATTTAGAATCAATTTTATTATATAGATCATATTGAAAGATATCTATTAGATTCGGAAAAATTAACGGAGACCGACTGGATTTGAACTCGGGATCCCTCGTCTACCAATCCGACACTTAGTCTGCACGACCACGACGGCTCCTCTCTGTTAGCTATTTATATTCCGAATCTCTTTCATGACCGCTTACGATCGTCTAATTCTTACAATATTATATAGATGCGTGTTTGAATATAATTATGTAAATGTATATATTAGGTGTACAAAAAAGTTCAGAGCTTTTTTTTGTAAAATTCAATCTTTATTCAAAAACAAACAAAAAATATTAATTAGCGAAATATTCCCCGTTTGCATCAATGACCTTTTGCCATCTTTCGGTAGCTTGCGAATTCCTTGACGATAGAAGCTCACCGGCTTCGAAGCGATAAAGTCATCAATGCATTTTCGTATCTTTTCAAATCTCACGAAATGTGTATCAGCCAAATGATGCTGCAGTGATCGGAATAGGTAGTAATCGGAAGGCGCCATGTCTGGGCTATACGCCGCGGGAAAAGTTCCCAGCCTAACGCAAAGATATGGTCCTGAGTCGCTTTCGCAACATGTGGTCGAGCATTGTCATGAAGCAAGATCACTTTACGACGTCCTTGGCCAGTAAATGGCCTCTTTTCTTCTAATGCATCGCTCAAATTGGTCAATTGTTGTTGGTAGCGGTCTGCAGTGATTGTTTCACCCGGTTGTAACAACTCATAATACAACACACCTTTCCAATCCCACCAGATACAGAGCAAAACCTTCTTGGCGTGGATATTGGGCTTTGACATCGATGTCGAAGGTTG